ATACTTAGAGAGGATGTAATTGAAATATTGCATGAAACAAAGTTTTTCCAGTGTTACCACTTTTATTAAATCAATTGTTTCACGATTACTCAATCCAGGTTATCAGGAAATGTACTATTACCGCGTTTGACGTGCAAGCACCTCCACAGGCAGTGTTAATTCCTTATGCAAGTTGCCAGCCACCAAGATTATAAAATGGTTGCTAGTCAAAGGTTTGTAGTATTCACGCTTAGGCGTTAGATATTGGTTCAGAGATCAAAGGAAGCCCGCAGAGTGAACGGGGCGTACTCTCACCCGCCACGTAGACAGACAGGGAGAAGACAATGGCCGTTAAGTTTGATTGGGTCCGTCTACAGCGACATCCGATCGGAATTAATATAGAGGATGGGATTAAAACTTAGATCGGAATTATCGGCATTGGTGTTGCTGAAATCGATACGCCATTCATATTTTCTTGTCAAGTATATGTCTGAAGTAACCGGTATTCTAAGGGCGCTGAAAGAAATTTATTTACATGTACGATCACGAATACGTGTCTGTTCATAAATTATCGCAGCGGCACGAAGAAGTCTCAGTAATAATTCTATGCTGCATTCGAAGACTAGAAGAAAAAAACTATTAGTAAGAATGAGTCCGAAATAGAAAACAACTGACGACTTTATGCTGGTCCTGATCCGGGGCGTCTCCAGTGGGAAAATGTCACAGGAATATAGAAGAGATTTTGGCATCGGAAACGACGATAGATCACCTAATTTCAAATTGTTATAACGCTGCTAATACTTGGTTGGTTATTGTTGAGGTTTAAGGCATTGTAAATTATAACGTTTACAGTTGCAGTAAATATTCCTTTTTTTCTCTAAATAGTTTAAGATGGACAGAAAGAACTATTATATATGGCCTCTGGTAAATATAGTAAATAGTAATCTGGTTTAAATTTTGGAATCCAATTTTTTGGTATAAAAATTAATTTCATTTTCTTATTATACTTTGGCTGAGTGTTCATTGGTAAATACAACAGCTCTCTATATATATCTTAATACAGAATACTGTTACAAGGATATTTTATTTTGACCACATGAACAAGTAACCTAAACCATCCAAGACAGCCCATTTTGACCAAATTAGCAATCACACTAAACCATCTACGCCGGACCCTTTTGACCAATTAACAAGCATTCTAAAACATCTGCAAGGGCCCTTTTTAACCTAAACCATCTACACCAGCCCCTTCTCATAAAATTAACAAGCACTCTAAAACATATATACAAGCCTCTTTTTATCAAATTAACAAACACCCTAAAACGTCTACAAAAGCCCTTTGTGAGAAATTGAGCAAGTACCCTAAACCATCTACGTCAGCATCTATCAAATAATAGATAGTGCGGTTGGACTTGGCGTCGTTTCTTTCAAATAGTGTGTCGTATATCATGTTGCAAAATGTATTGTTATACTACCTTCCTTAAGTTTCTTTAAATTCTTTCTTTTTGTCCAGAAATATGGAATGTTAACATAATTTGAAAGTGATTGTGATGTGTCGAATTTTGAAACCTCTTAGAAGCTTTGGTTAATGGAATTGTATCAAAGTCAACTTAATTAAAGTAGAAAGGGCTAGAGATAGTTAGATGATTATTTTCATTTCATCTCTGAAAGTCAAAAGGGAATTCGTTCCACCTGACGTAACATGACCGAGTCAGATGCTATGGTACAAGAGAATGACATAAGACCCTTTCCCAAAATTGACCGGTTAAAGGGCGGGAGCTGGCTATAGATGATTGTTCAAAGTAATGTTAATTACGGCATGATTAGTTGTTTAGTTGCCTTGTCAATCCAAAGATTCTACGGAACAGGTTTAGGAAACAGTCTTTTCCGATTGGTTAATATGGATTTATGGGCGTTACTCTGTAAGAAATTAAAGGTTTTACTTTAGGAAAATTCAGCAGTCTTCAATCTTTTTTGGAAAAGAGTGGTCGACTCCGGGAGACGCGAGAAAGACGTTATCTCGTGATTTAGCAGTAAAGCGGGAGTTTTGTCTCAGCGAAGTAGACAAACTCTGCATTTGAATTCGTAACAAATACGTTTTCGTTATAGAGTAAGGGGCCAGATAGTTGTCTCAGTTAGGAGACGGACTATACGTGAGGTTCGTGGAAACGAATAAAGAAAACGGCAAAAGGAAACAGCTTTCCTGGATTCACATGAGAAATCCCTAAACCAATCACAGGACCAGAGCAAATTCTGAGCCGAAATCTAAATCCAGAGACGATTGTTAAATCAGAGTTCGACGGACAAGAGGCCAAGACCAAACAGCTAGACAAAGATCGGCAGAACAGGGACGAACGGAAGTATTGATGTCCGCATAAAATAGGCAGTGAAGATAGTATATTAACGTTGAAGTAATTTTACATTTAAAGAAATTTGTATTGTCTTTTTATTTGAGTACATGTTAGTACCATTTTCATTCTTTTGTAACCAATTCATTGATTTCTTTTCATTTTAAATTCTGTTCATAAACTAATTAAATTTTATATTTGTTCATTGAAAGAGGTTTCGTAGTGTTTATTTCTTCAATATACTTGTTCAGTGATCTGCATTCTTCTTTCTATCTATCCACACTGGGTAAATTACACCGCGGAGGTCATTTCCTAGCAACGAACCATAGTGAAAGAGGTTGGTGTGTTTTGCACGCCGCCAATTTGTCACAGTGATATAAATTTTAATTGCACGCTGTATTTTGAGTAGTAAAATATAATAATTGTTCAAATAAACAAAACGGAATTCAACGTGTTGATACCATAATCAATGTCTCACCTTGGCAGAACTCACAGCTATAAGAAATCATGTAAAATGTCTGCAACAAAAGACCGAAAACGAGTATCAAGGGTACACGAGGGGAAGCTTACCATATGAAACAAAATCAAAATGATTACTTTAATGCATATAACATATAAAAAGCAACCCGCTTAATTTACGGCGGCGGCATCATCTATAGTGGTATCACAAAATTTCAAAATATTGTCATCCTTTATCCAACCCATCTACCATCTTTCTTTTTCCTTTTATTTTCATTTCTTTTTCATTTTTCCTATTTTATTTTTTCTTCCCATTTTTGCTGATGTTATAGAAGTGGCGCCCATGCGTGTGTCCCCTATTCGGAAAGCCAGTGACTTCATTGCACACTTTAAAAAGTCAAATCATTCAAGATCGTTAAATCCATCATCAAAAGCGAATTTTTAAACATTTAACTTCATTTTCTGTCCCTGTGAGACCTTATTGCAAGACACATAACTACTGTAAAGAATTACAATACCACTTGGACAAATGCAAATTTAAGGTACTAGAAAGAACACTCTTGTGTAAAATCAAATTGTAAAACGGTTGTAATCTCAAGGAAAGACACTAAAAGCAATGTTAGCTACCGCGACGATAACATGTTAGACTGGTAAGGATTAGTTGAAAGGCTGGTAAGGTTAAAATTGTAAGGTTGTAAGGTTAAAATTAATATATCCTATCTTAATTGTCCGTTTGAACATGTACATCTTGTACAAATTTCGGACCTGGTCGTTTAGAGTAAACGAGTAAAATTATGAGAGGAAATAAAGATGTGGACACAAATAGTATGCTTTGTGAACACGTATAAAAATCTGAGATCATAGTGGCTTAATAATAATGAAGACTTTAAAGTTACCAAAAAACTACACACTACATCAAACGAAAGCGAAGTAAGGTGTTATATAAATGCTGAAGAAATCACAACTATAATCTATGCAGTCTGATACCGAAATGCCTTAAGCATAGTTAAAAATGGACGACAGCAAAGTAGAACCCTATTGATCAAAACAAGCAACAACACGTATTGCAAGAAACGTTGTAAAGTGCGAAAAGCACAAAATCTCAGGCAGTCAGAAATCCAAAACGTTTGCAGATGAATCTAAGAGTAAAGTATTAAATGATTTACTGAAAACGCTGATGAAAAATGACAGTTGGTGAAGATTACTAAATGATTTTTCAAAGAGAAATATGTATCAGCTACAACGCTAGAGTGATTGTAATGGCTATATAAGCTTTTGCTCTGTCAATAGCAAATTTAGTTCAAACTTCTGCTCCACATAAATTCAAACTCCTTCCAACTCCTTCTTCGCCTCCCTTGTGCATGTTCACAAGTCGCCCATTTCTCCTTTTCCAAGAGAATCACTTCTTAAAATGAAAGACGCCTTTAGCGGTTTTGCATATTATTTACCTAACACGAGCACACATGATGCATTTGGTAGACTGACAAGTTGGTTGTTAAGAGAACCAGCTGTTTTATTTGATGTCTGACGACGTTATATTATTGGTTTTGGCTTTAGTGTAGCTTTTATTTGATTGTTAATCAAATATTCAACTAAAGAAATGAATAGGACTGAGTAAAGTTTATGCAAAAGAATGAGTAATTTCTAAGTACGCTAAGGTAGATCCTGTAACCATTTATATCAATATAAATGATTGCTTAATCTATGGTAAGAATATTTTTGATTTAGGCTTCTAAATTGTCACCAGTTATCATACCAGATTTGTGCTAAAAGCACATGAACCCATCTCGTTTCAAAAGTCTTTATCTCCGCAATGTAGTCACGGCGCCATCTTCCATATGTAGTGCAAATCTTTGGCGAATTTAAACCTCCTCATCGTAATCCTTCATTACATAATGTTTCCTTACAGTATCTCATTCCTTGTCCTCTGCAATTAGTTTTCAAGTGATTTATCGGCCTTGTAATACCGTTCTTTTCGGTATGGGCAATGGTAATAAGGATTAATCAAAGTTCATGAGTCGCTGAATTTTTGTAAATGGTTGATTTATCTGACGATGCTACCAATTTTTTATGACCGTGTTATTAGATAATAAAAAGACCAGTAACAGCATAATCTGCTTCACTTTTGAATGTCACGTATTGCTGTAAGTGTATTATAAATTTTATTCATCCTAAAATTAAAAATTCCATTGACATTTTAAAGCAGACGGCCGCTCTGGTGTAGTGGTTAGTGCGTCCGCCTCGGATGCGGGAGGTTGCGGGTTCCAATTCCGGCCTAGTCATAACAAAGACTTGTACCAATGGAAATAACATCTGCCTTTCTTGGCGCTCAGCATTAAGAGGTTAGTATTAGCACTGGTTGGCGTCATGTCAGGATAATGTTTATTGGATGAGACATGATGCTACATATCTGCGGCATGATGTCGCAGTGCTAGACATCACTATAAACTGCCACACTGCAGACATAGTAATAGTATGGCTAGCAAATTTTTTAAAGCTACATTAAAAATCCAAAACACCACAGACACACACCTTTTAAAGATATATGATATGTCGATAAAGACTAAGCATATATCATCTATATTACTTGCACACTTAAAAATATTCTAAGAAGCAGTTAATTCTTTACTTAGCGATTCTCTTGTCTGTTAATTCATAATGATGTAACTACAGCTTGCTAGGTTTATCTTTGTCTGCCGGTGAAATCAATTAATCAACACTAGCTGCTCCATAGTTAGACTTATGCGCCTGAAAACATAAGAATACTGTGAAAATTTCATGCTGAACAGTTTTAATTTCTTTAGACCCAATATTGATCAAATATTAACATTTAAAACTATTGTTCTCTGGTCATGTTTTGGTGTAATTTTAAAATTGTTGCAGATCAAATATAATTACGTTATACATGTGATATTGTTATTCGATTTAAATGTATCATAATCAAAAAAAGTTATTTCAGATTTGGATTTCATGTTTGGCACCTGGAAGTAAATATGCCAATCACTTAATGATCTGACAACTTGTATTAGATTCTTGGCTATAAAATGTCCATAGGAAATCCCCAAACCGGATGTCATCGACACTGCCGAGTTTAACAGATTCAACCAAAAACACATGTTGCTCTGTGCTCTCTCTATTTTAATAGCGTAATCATTGTCAAATTTTAAAATTGTTGTAGAAAAAGGCACGTGGATTTTATTTTATTTTGCATTCTAACAATAAATAAAGATCTTGCTATAAATTAAAATAAGTTAATTCTAGTTCTTCATGCTGGCTCCATGCACTAAGACAGAATTATTATAGTCGCATGTGCGTGCAGGTTGTGCTTTGTGACTGGTTTAAGTCACAGGCTGGACCATAGGCCCCTGCCGGGTGCTCTATTTTCCCTAGGCTGGGCGATGACCCCCTTGGAAATCGTATGGCCTAGGTTGGATGTCACCCCGAGTGAGTGACACCGTTTTTCCAAGAAGGTTTTTAAGATTTGTGCTAGGCCTTTAGCCCTAGTGTTGGGCTTTTCGCTTTTCTTAGATTTATGACCATTCGGTTCACCTATATCATCCACAGACAGAACACGACCGGCCGAAGAAGGGGCGACAAAGCACCAGTCGGGGAGGGCGTCACAGCACTCCCCGTGTCCCGCAGCCTCCCCCCTTCAGATGTTGTACGTGTTGTTTTCGGTCAGCACGAACATGTCCCTTTATTGGTGTTCCTGGAGAATGCCACTGTGACTGCAATGGATGTGGTGTCGCTGAGATCAAATTCTGTCCAGTTAGGCTAATGGACACCCTGTTTCCAATATTGTGCAAGCCACTTGTGTAATTGAGTCGAATAGAAGAGTTGCTTAATTTTGTTGAGTTTAATATTCAAAATAGTTTGAATTTTGAGTACAGAGTGTACATGATTAGTACTAAATTATTGACACCGTTTGGGCTAAGTGCCTATTTGATTGCACTTGGATGATGTGAGTTTTAGAAATTTTGAAATATCTTCTCTTCTAACTTATAAAAATATCATAGCCTTAAAATAACTAAATTATACCCTATAATACATCGAGACACTGTGTAAGGTGAACAGGATTCTAGTTCCTCCATACAAAGTGTACAACTTCTTCCCAACTCAATCGATTTTGGCTAATGTTCCAGTAATTCTTTGTGACTGAATGATTTATGTCTGAAGATGTCAAAAATACTGTTTAATCAATGTGAATAATACTATTTTTGCAATCTTTGTAATGTCTTATTTAAATTAAATTTAAACGTTTATATAATCTCTGTGTAGCATGTGGCGTTCATTAAGCAGCATTTATGTATGAAATTGCATCGATAAGCTCGTAGGTTTTGACACGTACTATAGTTGCTTCATAATATCAAAGACTAGTTTGCAATTTTCGGCAATTTATTTGTTTCAACAATGTCATAAATTAGCTTGTATTCTTTGGTATTATATTATCTTCAAAATTTTATGACTAGCTTGTTGTCGCTGGAACCATATTTGTCGTTTTGTTTTATATATAGTTGGAATCAAATTCATGGTTTTAAATATCATGCATTTACTTCATAAAGTCAGTTAATGCCCAAAAGGCTGTTTAAATTCCTTTCGCCTTAACAAGTTGGCAGAAACAGTCGATACTTTTCAAGTTTTGATTGTACATAATTTTGTTATTTACTTTTGATGGTTTGAGATGTATATTGTTTTTATTTCTTTAATAACTTTTTAATTCCTTAATTTTTCTGTTGGATTGTTCTTTCGACTAATAATATTTATATACCCAAAATTAATTGCAAACTGACATATATGTATTAATCTCTCAACATTTGTTAATCAGATAATGATAGGATCACCTGTATTATCTAAACGACGGAATCACCTACGTTATATAACCGATATGATCACCTACGTTATCTAAACAACAGTATCACCGAAGTTATCTAACCTAATTGATGTAGCCGACAGAATCATCCACGTTATCTAAACAACAGAATAACGTTATCAAAACAACAGGATCATCGAAAAGTATTTCCATGAATTAAAAATATTTACCTGTTTTATTTATATATATATATATATATATATATATATATATATATATATATATATATATATATATATATATATATATATATATATATATCCCTTTTTGAGAAAATGAGTAAGTACACTAAACCATCTGCGCCAGCCAATATCAAATAATAGATACTGCTTTTGGACTTAGGGTCATTTCCTTCAAATAGTGTATCCTATACAATGCTGCAACATGTATTGTTATACTACCTTCCTTAAGTTTTTCAACCTCCATATATTTGTCCAAAAATCTGGAATGTTAACAGAATTTGAAAGTGATATAAATGTTAATTGCAAGCTGTACTTTCAGTAGTAAAATATAATAATTGTTCAAAAATAAACAAAACTGAATTCTAGGTGTCGATATCATAATCAACCTTGCCCTGAATTTATATTTTGATATTTTCATTTTGTGTAACAACTAATACATTGCTAAATTATTCTCTATGTTATGGGTTTAAAATCAAAATAATTATTAACAGAAGTGAACTATATTTATTTGGGTCTAGGTCTAGGATTTGGAATTTCCTTAGTGGATTTGACATAATCCGGTCTGGTTTCTAATAATAACTTTTTTATTTTGTAAATATCAGGATCATTCTAGAAGGTTATTTTCCATTAGACAATAGTTTGTTTTAGAAAATGCTAATTGTGGCATCAGGTCAAGTAGAAGACTATATACTCTTGTTACTAAAGGGAAGATTCAGTCGTACTTTAAGTCCTAGAACTTCGAGTTGTATTATATGTTGTGTCCAGCTGGGCTGAAATTTATTTCTTCGAATTATTGAAATTATTTGTCTGGAAAAACACAACACTAAAACATTCTTGGATATAGACATTTCACTAGAATTTATAATGAATTCAAACCTGGAATTATTTACTGGGATCCGTCAGAAGACCCTTATCCCATTAATACTCTACAAGCTACGACACATCATCACCTTCAGCTTTCAATTTATTTTGGATTTTTACTGAATTTATAGAACACGTATCTCTAATTCTAGGACTATTTGGAATTAATTCGTTCTTTATAATAAGCAATTTACTTTGTATTCTAGGGAAATAAGTTATTGACATAATTTTCAAAGCTTAATACATTTATGTTACTTGTTTTAGATCGAGATCGTAGACTCGTAACTATATATATATATATATATATATATATATATATATATATATATATATATATATATATATATATATATATATATATATATATATATATATATATATGGCGAATAACAGCCCTTTTAAGCGCACTGCGTCCAGCAAGGGATCACGCGTGACAGGGATTGATTGAGATAGATGCAATAAACAGACACCGATCAGTGCAAATACATAACTTAGACAAAACAAACAAATAAAACACAAAACCTTTGTGTTTGCAAAACTTTACATGGCCGTTTCTACTTCATGATGATGATGATGATGATGATGATGATGATGATGATGATGATGATGATGATGATGATGATGATGATGATGATGATGAGAGAAGGGGTATAGGTTTAAACAGTTCAAACATTAAGTATGATTAGTTTATTCCGAAATTTAGCATATATATATATATATATATATATATATATATATATATATATATATATATATATATATATATATATATATATGACATACAGAGAGAGAGAGAGAGAGAGAGAGAGAGAGAGAGAGAGAGAGAGAGAGAGAGAGAGAGAGAGAGAGAGAACAACGTAGAAGACTTGGGAAAAGGAAGACTCGGGGAAACGTGTGTAAGTATGCGAGCGATGTTCGTGAGTCATAGTATTAGTGGAGTCATAGTAACTCAGTGGTTTGCCTCCTGGACTCAGAACGAAGGGTGCGGGGTCGAATCCTAAAATCGGACCAGCCTAGGTCAGCTACTGTGGTTTGGGCAAGGCACTTTACTCCAATTGCCTTGGCAATAAATAACCTACTTGTGTTGCTGTGCCGTAAAGCATTTATCCAACCCAATCCAATAGTGTGAATATTAGACCCTGGTTAATAAACGGATGTTGCAGTCATACGTGATGTAGATGTGATCCGTCATCTGTCCGCGTGGGTTCAGTTTCGGCCTTATCCAATGTACGTAAGAAAGATTGCCAGTAGCATCCGTGTCTGGGGTTCCTTTGGGGTAAATACTGTACAGCAGCTACTGTATATTCTATCAAGTGCTGCAAAATGTCGTTAAAAATACGAAAACTAACAAATCTATTATGTTACAGATACTGTA